TATTTAGGTTTTTTTTCATCCCTTCATCTGATTTGCCTTCATTTTGATAAAATTGCAGAATGTTCAATCAGGTAGGGTTGGTCACAGCATTTAGTCAGTAATTGTTTTGGCTAGTTCAGCTGTTAAAGAAAAAATGTTTTGGCAAATTCCATTGTTAAAAGTATGAGCTTCAGTAGAAGCAAAGATATACAACAACAAAAAACTTGTCAACTGCCAAATTATTTTATTTCAAACATACCAAAGATAGCAGCTCATCCAATATTGCTGCCTTGATTTTTTTGTGATAACAGGACATTGAAGAACCTTCATAAATAACAAAATGTGCACCTATTAGAAGATCTGCAGATTTTATTGTTAGTGAAGATTAACAAGGTAAATAAAACATTTACCAGAATTGTAAAAAAATAAAATAAAAAAAACTGGTGAAAAAACTGGTTAAAAATGCCACTATCATAGTATAGGCAATCATTTTGGGCCTGCCTCATAAAAGATACTTTACTTCGCAATACACACTGTACAGGTGACAGACATTTATATAACACTTAATCCTGTCTATCTTTTTAAATTAAAGAGATATTTAGACCTACATGTAAAAATGTAATTGCGCACAGCACAATAAAAAATACTACATGCATTAAAATGCTCAACTGCTTTAAATGTTTCAAATGGTTGGCAGAGAATATGCCTTTTGTAATTCATCACCATCAAAGTTTGGGTTTGATTTTTCTTCATCCACAGCAAATATTGCAGTAGTAAGTAGATGCCATTTGGTGAATTACCGACTGAATTTCTATATCTCTAGAAGTCATGTCACACTAGCAATCCTGCTGCTGGCTGCAACTCGCCAGCAATAGGATCATTAAAAAGAACACTTCCCTGCTCCTTCAGCTCCACTCTGTTGCTGGCCAGCCAAAGAGCTTTGATAAAGTGACACTGGTTCAGAGGCAAGGGAGTGACACTGTGGAAGCATAAGTGATATCTTCTTTTTTTGATATCTTCTTTTAGCAAGGCAAATCAGCATCATGATTGCTAGTGTGGTACAGCTCTGAGGGACTCTAGTGACAAGATTTTTATATGTCACCAGCCTTTACAAATTCATGTCATGAGGATAGAATTCACTTGTAATGGCTATGTGGGAATAAGAAACTCAGGTTCAAAGATCTGGTCCCAAATGATATATATGATGATGGGCAATTCAATCTGCATGCAGCCATCCAAAACTTAAATACATACGCTCATCTATTCCCAGCTAGTGCAACTTCTTGCTCCAGTTCCCGAGGTAGACCAGATAGACCTAAACTTGCACAAGACTGGCCATTACCAGGAAGTGCAGGGGCTAAAGAGAAAAAATTTTGCAAGCAAAAAAAAATACTGAATTGGCCTTTAAACTGTTCTTGCATGCTAAAGTATGTCTTATACCTAAGCGGTCTGTTTACAAAGACTTGGCAATTTCAAGCACATTAATCTGCCTGGATCTGCCCACATTCACCACCATCTACCATACCAGTACTTAAAGTGTATGTTACTTTTATTTTTTTTCTAAATATGTGTGTTCACATATGTGTATTGTGAGAAATGTGTCATTATTTATCGGTTTCATGTGCTTCTTCCATCTGAAGTACCTGGGTGGTCTTTCCAGTCATCTTTTTGTCCTTGCTCTAAACTGACCACACAAAAGCAAAGAAGCTGTTCTCTGTTAGAGTGGTCAGTTTTCCTTTGGCTGGCTATTCAGAGGTACAAGACACTTTGCAGACACACCTCATGCCTATATTGGGTAGTTTGTTCAGCCACCACTTCCCCGACCAGTCACAACCTGCATCATGCCTCATGTATCAGGCTGAACAGACTATGCAATACAGGTACACTATGTGAATGCAGGGTGACTTTTAACCCCATCCCCCACTATCAGGAAGAAGAGCTGCATGGCCACATGACAGAAAGTTTTAACTTTGTAAAAAAGGTAAGATATCATTTCTGAAACTAAGCAAAAGCAGGTATGGTGCCTACATATTAGTAAGTGTCTATAACATAGTATGTTCACAATTACTTTAAACAACTGCCTGGTGTTCAATGTGGAGAGGGGATCCTGCTAGATGAAAATTACAATTAACAATGAATCTTAAGCAAATTTGCAATTCATTTGGATTTAGCTAAACAATTGTGCAGTGTCAGTTGGATCCACAATGATGATTGCTATTGACCTGGACTTAAAAGTGACAAAAGTAAGGTAACAATAGCACTGAAGAGGTGAATGACAGCAGATGTGCTTTATAAATCAGTTAATTTTGGGTGTGTTTAATCATTTATAAACAGACCACCATAAAATGTTCTATATTAAGTTTTTTTTCTTTAGCCAATCCTTTTTTTTTTTTTAATTCATCCAATCCTTTTTTGTACTTTTCAGACATAGTAAAAAAAAATTGCCTGAGGGGGAGAAAAAGTAATGGTAGCCAAATCTATTAACAGGGCTGCCTGCAGCCAAACAAAATGATAGTTCAGGTTCTTCAATCTGTACAGCTGGAGAACTCAGAGCCGGGAGAACTCTGATAGCATACTGAGAGCACTGAACCTCTGCTGACTGTGGTGACTGTTTAAGCCACAGCAGCTGTACATACAGCTCTATACAATGCCCCAGGCTTACAGTAAAAATACTTTCATCTAAGGAGAGGTTTTATTTTGCAGTAGCTGGTGAGGCTGAGCTGTAGCTGTTAGAAGCCTTGGATCTCCTGCTTTATGTGTAGGCACAATCACCTGGATTAGGTAGCAAACACTTACAATTCAGATACTGTAATATGGCGCAGAGAAACATTTTTAAAAGCTGTTCAAGGAAACAAATCACAAAAATCAGATCAATTTACAGTTACTTTTCTTCTGAAGAATATTAAAAACTGCAACAAAACATACATACGTATATTTATAACAAACCATTTCACATCTCAAGAACAAAACAATATCAAAAACTGCTCAAAAACTAGTTTAACTGTCAGAAAAAGTGCTAATCCTCCATATGTAGAAAAAAAAAAAAAAAAACAGGTAAGATACATCCAGCAAAAAAGCGTCTCTTTACATTGCTTTCAGCATTTTGATGGGACTCACCACACATTTTAGATTCTGGCTCAAAAGTCAGAGAGGAAAAGTAATGTATATAAATACTGCAATACATGTGATCACATGTTACATGGTTACAGGTAAAGCCCAACTTCAGGAAATGAAAAAACTTTTATATACAATGAAGGTAGAGGAATGGCAGGGTGGGGGTTATAACCTCTGTAGGTTGTTAGTATTGTCTGCATTCATTTTAGAGAGATTTCCCCTTACTTCATGTTTTAGTGAAGAAGTGACAGTCTCTCCAATGGAGACAGAAACAAATGTTCTTTAGAAGAATGAGAAAAGGTTAAGCTTTGTTAACGTTTAACTGTTCTACACTTAAAGCTTAAAAAATAAAGTTTTGGCTGGAGCCAGGCTGTAATGGCAGTATTTTGGTCTAAGTTAACCATTTCAAACTCCCATAAAAAAATCATAAATACTTAGCATTTTTAAATAAATGCAGATAAGGCAAAAACAAAAAATCTAATTTTGGTTGACAAGTAGCATATTACATGCTCGCACACTGACTGCTGGAATAATGGTACAGTAAAAAAAAAAAAAAAAAGACCAACTGCCCAAATACAGTGGTGTAACAATAACATAATTATAACACACTGTATGCTTTTCTAAATTTCTATAGTTATGACCACTATATATCTATAAAAAATTAAACCCAATGTCATAAATGAAAAAAATATTGGAATACTTTTTCCAGGTGTGCTGAAAAAGCCACAATTCAGAAGCGAAATATATTAGGGCATCAGGTTAAACAAAGTTTGTGGGTAAAGGTATAGAATTTAAGAAGGGTATTTAATTATCCATAATATACTGAAAATATTCCTATAAATAGTACAGAAAAAAGATACTATAACTTTCTTAATTTTACAAAATTAAATTTACTTTTATTTTTAACATGTCATATTTTTTCATGAAAAAAAACGATCTTTTACCTTTTCTAACATCGTCAGGGTTAGATGCCTGAGACTAAAAGTGCACTCAGTGTTTTTTGAAATTTGCACAGTAATTTGTTCAAAGAATAATTTACCAAATTCTTCTAAGTTTTCTGTGTTTTTTTTTTAATCTATCCAATTGGATCGTGACAGAGACATTATTTCACAGCTAATTTAAAACATGAGCTCATTTACTCCTGAAGGGCTTTATAGAAAAAGCATGTACATCCCTTATTTATCCAATCAAGTTAGGATGATTTGAAAGAGATGAACAAGGGAGTCTTTTTAGTCACTAAATAGCAAGACACACTTATATTCATAACTAGCTTACATTAGAATTTCAAATATTATTTATTAAAGCTTTTCCTGTTTCTTTTCCTCCCTCTTTTGTATTTGTACTGAAGATGGGATATCTGGGGAATATGTATGAAAACAGATTCAACAAGTAACCCTGTTGAAAAAAAAAAAAAAAAAAAAAAAAGTGAACACTTTAAGAATAATACTTTCAAATATAATATTGGGGTGTTTTTGTGTTTGCGACAGCTCAAATAAAGCACTAAACACTATACTAACATCCCTTAATATTTACAGGATACTGTAAAAAGTATACCATGCTGACAACATTTTAAAAATAGGAATGTGTGTATAAGACCACAAAATTCAGCCTTGCGTGGTTGAAAAATATTTTTTGATAAGAGGACTTTGTTTTCTAAAAATATTCTTTTCAAGACAAAACAAGGCAAAGAAACAACCTGGCTGGATTATCTTTTTGTGTCTTTCTCCTTTTCTAAAGGAGATAAATTCCATATGTCTATGAGACACATGTTTCAAATAATTTGGCATGTATTGTATCTGCAGTTCAACAGATACTAAAGTCCAACTAGTGAACTTATGTTATTATACATGTTCTTGCTGCTTTAAACACCTTGTCTAAAGCTCTGGATGCAAAAACCCCTCCTTCATTCAGAATAAAACATCTTCATTTTGTATTAAGAGCTGCACAATTTGCTTCTGATGTCGCATGTCATTTAAGGAAGTGAGGGCATTTTCCTCTGGAGGTCTCATTAATGTTGGTCCGAAGACAATGCCAAGATTTTCTGCCCCCATAAGATTGTCCTTCTCATTCTGTGTAACCCTGGAATAAAAGAAAACATGACAATAAATATTACATAATAACAACAGTAAATTCCTGTTACCAAAGTTCATGCCAAGTCATTTTTTGTTTAGTTTTTAGAAGGATTAGAGTCTCTGTCAGGTTTTTACTGCTATTGAGTTAGAAATGTCCCCTCACATACTGTAATAATGACAGCATTTTCACTAGACAGAAAATGGGAAAAACTTTCAGCTTTTGTAAAAAACAAAAAAACAAAAACTGGAGTTCCACCTTAATTATTCTATAGTTCCCTTTAAAAAACAATGTTTTTATCCCAACCATCCGTGTTACTAATCCCTTGTGTCTTGCACAGTACACAGAACATGGAAATGCATTTATTTTAGTAAAAATAAACTGTTAAATACTTTTTCAGCAGTATATAGCACTCGTGACTTCTGTCAGTGTCCAGCTGAGCACCAGGTAATTTTGTCAGAGTTTTTTTTATTCTCCCCCGACTGTCCTATGAGGATGCATAACCACTGACCCTCTGTACGGACAGTGCTGATTCACCATGTGCTGATCACATACACCCTCCAAAAAACAAAACCTCTCTAGCAATACACACCAGAGCACGTGCAGACTTGCCACTGTTGCTCTGTACTATGGCAGATGAATTGGGGACAGTATAAGAAGGGGAGGGTCAGGGAAGACAGGATCAAACAGTGATTTTACTCAATGCAGAGGATTAACCCCTTATGTTCCACAGTGAGTATAACAAGCATGCTTTACTGCATATACAGACTGATTTTACTGTTGTGGGTTTAGTAAGGGGTGTTTCAAACTGTTGTACCTGTTGATCCCAAGTGCAGTGGTTTAGGTATCCTAGGTGATCTACAGGTTGACAACTTTATTAACCCCTTGGTGTCAACTGCCTCCTGGCCCTTTAAGGGTTCAAAAAGACGAGAGACGGGCCTTCAGGTCATGTGACAACTGTGATTGGTTGTCAAAGCCAATCACAATCAATCACATGATTGGAAAGCTGTCAATGCATCGGGAGCTTACTGATCACTGCTGGCTACCGTGCTGGGAGTGTGTAGGGAGCGCTTTCTTAGCACACTAAGTAATTTTAACAAGGCTGCATATATGCGGCTGCTTGGTATTAAGGTGTTTACGTCGAGCGGCCACATATATGCATGTGGCTGGCATCCACAAATTAAAGCTATTATTAGAGCCCTGTTCCAGGCCCATAGACTTATCCTTGTTCATTGGAAACCTCCAGATCCTCCTACACATGCTGAATGGGTGAAATGCATAGGTGGTATGCTTTGATTGGAACGCTTAATTTACCAGCACAGGGGCTGTTCAAGTAAATTTGAAAAGATTTGGGGCTTGTGGCTGGACAGTCCTATTGACCTTTTTGTAGATAGAATCTTATTGTAAGGCTGTATGTCCTGATGTCTCTTCTATTCTTGTAATGTCCTCTTATTATTGCCATGATACCGATGCTGATGGAGACATTGTGCTATGCCATGTATACTAATTGCACTAGATTGTTTTTACTGTGTTATTGTTTTTTCTTTTCTGAACTTATTTTCTCAATAAAATCCATTTTGTTTGAGGAAAAAAAACAATGTTTTGTAAGCGTACTACACGTTGCTATCTAATTATACATTCTCCTTTATCTTTACCTATAATAATGTGCTCAGTGTACTGAAACAATTAAACTATCTAGAGTCAGTAGACCTTTGCACTAGATAGCTATTGTTTATTTAATGTATGTAAATGTAGGTGGCCAGCATTGGCTTGCTGATTATTATGCAATGTATTTGTTATAAAGCCTAAATGTAATCAAAGCATTAAATTTGTACAAGGGACATTATTTACAATCAATGCAAAATTCCGCTTGTGCTGCTGGCTGTGGATTTAGTTGAAATCTTTAGTCCTCTGTGTCGCAAACGTGCGCACCAGAGAGACTGCCGCAGTCCTCCATTTTGTTAAGAATCTCCATGTTGTCTCATTTTTCCCCCTTCCCTCTCCGAGAGGCACAGTGACATTTGGCCAGTGTGTGTGTGTGTGTTAGGAGTGTCACAGGAGGCCAGAGCCCAGCAGGGGGCTAGGAGCTATAAAACACCTCTCTGAGCAGGGGCCTCACTGTCTGAGCAACCTGTGCCATTTAACACCTCGTAAAAAGATAACAGAGCCTTCCCAGGAGTTCAAGGCATTCCAACGAAGCATGAATCAGATAAACACTTTTCAAAATCCATTTTTCCCCTATGTCTCATATCTTGGAATATGAGAGACTTACATAAAAACCACACATATCGTCAGATTGGCTAAGAGAAGACGAACAATTTGATGGGTCACTCGCCTTGTCTCGACTACATAGGAAAGCCGAAAAATAGATCTCGTGAACCGTTCAGTGTATAATTTCATAATTCATATCTAATCAATCCTCAGACGTGTCTGCATAATAATCTACCCGCGGGTGGAATGTCACTTGTGCAGATGGAAAGTTATGGGCCAAAATATGAGTTAAGGGAGATTTCGGCTCTAGTTGAGGTATCCGCCCATACCTCCACGCCCTAAACGGGGTATTGGTCCTTGACTTCAGAGACACCCCCTGCTGGGGAACTACAAAAATAGGCTGTCAGGCCTAGAGAGTTGAGTTGAAGACGTCTCCCATTTTAACATCAGTACCACCTGGGGAGACCCGTGCCCTTTCGCTCTGAAACTTGGATCTAATAACCCAGGTCTTTCGCAAGTACCTTAACCCTTTCACTTCTCTCTGATATCTCTTTGCTGTGCTGTTAGCCTCTGTATATTTATATATATATCTTAGTTACATCTTTTTCTGTAAATATTTTTATTGCACCCATTTGACCTTTTAGTAATAAATCTTTCCTTCTGAAAGTGTTGAACTATTTCAATAGCGCTGTATTGCAATTTACGAATTCCTGCCTCTAAAGAGAACACTACTGTGTTTGTTTAACCCTCTGCATAATCGGCCTGCGGTGACCGTATTATGCAGACGATTATCTCAACCATTATAGTGTTTTAGCTGATATCGCCAAGTTTCCTCTTTCTCTGTACAAAAAGGAGGTGGTGGCAGTGTGAAAGGTTAATTGCGTAATTAACCTGACCCAGTAACAATCGCTCAGGCTGCCGGTACATCGATTGTGGTCCAATTAGCTGGAAAATCACTGTGCAAGGTGCAGCTGGGTGTGGAATTGTTACGCACGTGACATCGCGGTTTTAGATCGGCTAGTCCTTCGGTCACAAGTTTGGTAAGAAGGTCTGGGGTCTGACGCCGCGATCGTGACACTCTGAACCCCCCCTACTCCGTAGCGGTAATGTTCCACTGCTGTGGGGTTATTACGGCCACTGAACCTGCATTTTCTGCCCTCTCCTCCATTCACAGAAGCTGTACTATAGCTTCCATGAATTAAACACACTCTATGAATGGAAGAGGTGGACCTTTCATTCATTCGCCCATCCTCCATTCAGAGCACTTTTAATTCATGGAAGCTATAGCGCAGCAAGGAAGAAGTGTGAAAAGGGTGGCCATAGACGGTACTCTTAATTGGTGCATATGACAGGTCCATTGACTCTTATTAACCCTTGTAGCACCAGAAAATTACCATTGCAGGGATAGGGGGAATCAAAAGACTGAAGAGTTCAATTAGATCTGCAGCTGGCAGATTGCATTGATTGTAAGTACTGTCCATTGTGCTGATTTGTAAAAAAAATACTTTGACTATATTTAGGCTTTAAATTACTTATTATAAAAACTGCTTTTACTTACTTTTTGAGATGGATCATTAGGTATCTCAGCGTCTCATAATGTGCAGGTGGGAGGACCATCAAGGCTTCATGTATAGCTTCTAATCTCTCATCTGGATTGCATATTTTCTATGAAGAAAACATGCCATTAGAATAATTCATAATTCAGCCCTTTGGCATCCAGGAAAAAAAAAGAAAGTTACCACGTCATATCAATATAAAGATCTTATATTTATTTTAGGTACTTATATAGCGCCGTCAATTTACGCAGCGCTTTACATATATATTGTACTTTCACATCAGTTCCTAACCCTCAAGTGGTGTACAATCTAAGGTCCCTAGCTTACATTCATACATACACATACTAGGAACAATTTTGACAGGATCCAATTCACCTACCAGCATGTCTTTGGAGTGTGTAGGGAAACCGGAGTCCCCGGAGGAAATCCATGCAGGCACAGGGAGAACATGCAAACTCCAGGCAGGAGGTGCAGTGGCTGGGATTCGAACCAACGACCCCATTACTGCCAGGCGGAAATGCTAACCATTTAGCCACTGTGCTGCCCAATATCTACTATATATTACTGTATGCTATTTTATATTAGATGCCTATCCACTCATGACTTCTATATCTGCTTCTGATAAGGTTGGGTAATTAAAGTGTGTGTCTAGGCAAAAAAAAAACCCAAAACATAATTAATACATCTATGCAATACATGCACATTCCCCGATGTTTTTTCTTTTTTTAAAATGCTACATGTACAGGAAAATATCTGTTGATCCTGCCAGTAATCCAGTATGCTACTAACGTCTTATGTAATTGGGGATGGGGGGTGGTGTTCCAAAGTTTAGAAGAAGAGACCTCAAACACGGCTAAGAATATGTATTTTTTTTTAGTTAGACAATATCAAAACCTGCCCATGGCGTTATTACAAAACAGTAAACTCGCTGCCTTAAAACAGGTAAAGAACAAATATTGCCCTGCTCCAACTTGCACAGCTAGGTTCACCAGAAGAGGAACAGACACTATAACTGGTGAAGTGCAACCCACAGTAGGATACACATGGACAAGCAAAGTGATAGCCCAGGACCTGCCTCCCTCCCCACAAAGCAATAAATGTATGGAAGACAACCCATGCAATACAATCATGATCAAATCATTAAAGGAACTCCTCAGGAGTGGTCAGCCAGCGGTTTGCAAAAACTAATTGGCCAGACAAAAAATATTTGTAAAAATTAAGGTACTGCTAGTCTCCCCTCCCGCCATGGCTATTGCAGTATAGACAATTTAAGGCAAGGGGTCCGTCCATGCCATAAAAAGGAGGACAGCAGGCCATCTATTGATTTAAAAAACAATTTGGGAATCCACACTGGAGAGTTTCCAAACACATAAATAAAACGGGGGCAAAATGTCCATTTTGACCAAGTTAATTCTCCCAATAAGTGACAAAGGAGATTCTTCCAGGCAGGTCCAGCTTAGAATATTTTACTGAGAGTTCAGTACAGTAGAGGCAGATAGGAGTACACTAAATTTCTGGCAGGATTAATGTATATTTTTCTGTACTAGTGTTTCTAAAGATATCAGAAATTGGTAAATTTGTACGTATTGCAGATATGTTTTCTTTTTTTATTTTGCCCAGACTATAAATGACCTGCTGGCTCTTGGGGTCTCCAGTGGGAAGATCTTTGTGCTTTAAATGGATTGTAAACCTTAAGCATGGACATCTGGCCATGTTTGCTCTGCCACTGAAAGTGGTTTGTTACATTTATTTCATAAATGCCATTTGTCTGATAACTTCCTGTGTCTCTGCTGTTAACAGTTACATGGATCTCTCAGGACTATAAAACCATGCTACTCTATGTCTTAAGAGGAGAGGGGGATGTGTCTATGATTCTGTCATGTTTCTGTTGCTCTGATACAGTGGGGCAGGAAGTGTGTTACTGGCAGAATCACCAGGTGAATATAAAGGCAAAAAGCTTGAAGCAAGACAACTAATGCACCCACATTGTCTCCTGAACAGGGCACAAGCATAAAAAAATAAATGACAGTGAATACAGTGAGGAACAGAAGTATTTGAACACCCTGCGATTTTGCAAGTTCTCCCACTTAGAAATCATGGAGGCGTCTGAAATTTACATTGTAGGTGCATTCCCACTCTGAGAGACAGAATAAAAAAAAAATTCAGGAAATCACATTGTATGATTTTTAAAGAATTTATTTGTCTTGCACTGCTGAACATAAGTATTTGAACACCTGAGAAAATCAGTGTTAATATTTGGTACAGAAGCCTTTGTTTGCAATTACAGAGGTCAAACGTTTCCTGTAGTTCTTGACCAGGTTTGCATACACTGCAACAGGGATTTTGGCCCACTCCTCCACACAGATCTCCTCTAGATCTGTCAGGTTTCGGGGCTGTTGCTGAGCAACACGGAGTTTCAGCTCCCTCCAAAGATGTTCTATTGGATTTAGGTCTGAAGACTGGCTAGGCCACTCCAGAACCTTGATATGCTTCTACGGAGCCACTCCTTGGTTATCCTGGCTGTGTGCTTCGGGTCATTGTCATGTTGGAAGACCCAGCCACAACCCATCTTCAATGCTCTGACTGAGGGAAGGAGGTTGTTGCTCAAAATCTCACAATAAATGGCCCCATTCATCCTCTCCTTAATACAGTGCAGTCGTCCTGTCCCCTTCGCAGAAAAGCACCCCCAAAGCATGATGTTACAGCCCCCATGCTTCACAGTAGGGATGGTGTTCTTGGGATGCAACTCAGCCTTTTTCCTCCAAACACAACGAGTGAAGTTTAGACCAAAAAGTTGTACTTTGGTCTCATCTGACTACATGACTTTCTCCCATGCCTCCTCTGGATCATCGAGATGGTCATTGGCAAACTTCAGACGGGCCTGGACATGTGATGACTTGAGCAGGGGAACCTTCCGTGCAATGCATGATTTGAAACCATGACGGCGTAGTGTTCTACCAACAGTGATCTTTGAAACAGTGGTCCCAGCTCTCTTCATGTCATTAACCAGCTCCTCCCTTGTAGTTCTGGGCTGATTCCTCACCTTTCTTATCATCAGTGTTACCCCACGAGGTGAGATCTTGCCTGGAGCCCCAGTCCGAGGGAGAATGACAGTCGTCTTTAGCCTCTTCCATTTTCTAACAATTGCTCCAACAGTTGATCTATTTTCACCAAGCTGCTTGGCAATTGCCCCGTAGCCCTTTCCAGCCTTGTGGAGGTCCACAATTTTGTCTCTGGTGTCTTTTGACAGCTCTTTGGTCTTGCCCATGGTAGTAGTTGGTGTCTGACTGACTGTGGGGTGGATAGGTGTCTTTAAAGAGCTCAGACAGGTTCTACTAAGTTAGATTAATGAGTGAAGTAGAGGTGGACTTTTTAAAAGGCACAGTAACAGGTCTTTGAGAGCCAGAATTCTTGCTGTTTCTTAGGTGTTCAAATACTTCTGTTCAGTAGTGCAAGACAAATAAATTCTTTAAAAATCATACAATGTGATTTCCTGAATTTTTTTTTTAATTCTGTCTCTCAGAGTGGGAATGCACCTACAATGTGAATTTCAGACCCCTCCATGATTTCTAAGTGGGAGAACTTGCAAAATCGAAGGGGGTTCAAAAACTTCTGTTCCTCACTGTGTTACCTTTCACTACACTATTCAAAAATAAAAAGAAAGGAAAAAAAGTAATGCACCTCTGTATTCTACACTGCTCCAAAAAATTAAAGGAACACTTTGAAAACACATCAGATCTCAATGAGGAAAAATATGCTGGATATCTATACTGATATGGACTGGGTAATGTGTTAGGAACGTAAGGATGCCCCATCGTTTGATGGAAATGAAAATTATCGACCTACAGAGGACTGAATTCAAAGACACCCCAAAAATCAAAGTAAAAAAATGATGCAGCAGGCTAATCAATTTTGATAAAATTTCATTGCAGCAACAATGACAACATCGGGGCATGCTCCTAATGAGACGATAGATGGTGTCCTGGGGTATTTCCTCCCAGATCTGGACCAGGACATCACTGAGCTCTTGGACAGTCTGAGGTGCAATCTGGTGGCGTCAGATGGACCGAAACATGATATCTCTGAGGTGTTCTATTGGAGTTAGGTCAGTCAGGCGAGTGTGGGGGCCATTCAATGGTATCAATTCCTTCATCCTCCTGGAACTGCCTGCATACTATCACCACATGAGGCCAGGGATTGTTGTGCACCAGGAGGAGACCAGGACCCACTGCACCAGCGTAGGGTCTGACAATGGGTCCAAGGATTTTATCCCGGGTGCCATTGTCTAGCCTGTAGAGGTTTGTGTGTCTCTCCATGAATATGCCTCCCCAGACCATCAATGACCCACCACCAAAATGGTCATGCTGATTGATGTTAGAGGCAGCATAACGTTCTCCATGGCTTCTCCAGACCCTTTCATGTCTGTCACATATGCTCAGGGTGAACCTGCTTTCATCTGTGAAAAGCACAGGGACCTGCCATTTCTGGTGTTCAATGGCAAATGCCAATCAAGCTCTACAGTGCCAGGCAGTGAGCACAGGGCCCACTAGAGGATGTCGGGCCCTCAGGCCACCCTTATGAAGTCCGTTTCTGATTGGTCAGAGCAGGGGCGGACTGACAACCCATGGGGCCCCCGGGCAATAGGGGATCATGGGGCCCGTGTCCTTGCTCAAACTCAAAAAAGCCTATGAAAAAGGTACCAGGGGCATCTCATGGGGCCCCCTACTGACCCCGGGCCCTCAAGCAGTGCCTGAGTTTCCAAATGGTCAGTCCGCCCCTGGGTCAGAGACATTCATACCAGTGGCCTGCTGGAGGTCATGTTATAGGGCTCTGGTAGTGCTCATCCTGTTCCTCCTTGCACAAAGAAGCAGATACCAATCCTGCTGATGGGTTAAGGACCTTCTATGGCCCTGTTCAGCCAGAGTAACTGCCTGTCTCCTGGAATCTCCTTCATGCTCTTGAGACTGTGCTGGGAGACACAGCAAACCTTCTGGCAATGGCACATATTAATATGCCATCCTGGAGGAGTTGGACTGCCTGGGCAACCTTCATAGGGTCCAGGTATCACATCATGCTACCAGTAGTGACACTGACCCTAGCCAAATGCAAAACTAGTGAAAAACAGAGAAGATGAGTAGGGAAAAAAATGCCAGTGGCCTCCACCTGTAAAACCATACCTGTATTGGGAGTCATCTCATTGTTGCCCATTTAGTGCACCTGCTGTTAATTTCATTAACACCAAAGCAGCTGAAACTGCTTAACAACCCCCTCTGCTTCTTAACTGACCAGATCAATATCCCAGCAGTTTGAGTGACTTGATGATATACTCTGATTAAAAAGTCTTCCATTAATTTTTTTGATGTATTGCAATATTTTCAGTGTTTGTTTTTAGGTATAGATGTGCCATAATTTTCAAGCAGTGGCAGCCACCAGAATGTCCCACCCTCCTTTCTTTTCAGTGTTAACAGGGATTATGGCCAACAAGGAAAACCTGAAATATCGCTTTGGATAAAATGCCACTTTAAAGCTGAGCACCGGCCAAAAGATATAGCTAAGCAGTTGGTTTTATCAAATTTCATACTAATACAATGATAGAAAAATGTAAAACAAAAAAAAATAAGTCTAATTTATTTGGCTGATTTTTAAAATAATAAAATAAAAAACTGCTGAGATACAGTGTACATCTAAAAGCCACATACAGTATACTTTCTAAAATAAAGAGAAATGTTTTGATGGTCAATATAAAATGATCACATGACACACTGGGGTCTATTTACTAAAGCTGGAAAGTGCAAAATCAGGCTCACGTCTGCATAGAAACCAATCGGTATCTAACCTCAGCTTGTTCAGTTAAGCTTTGGCAATAAAACCTTAAAGCTGATTGGTTCCTATGCAGAAGTGAGCCTGATTTTGCACTCTCCAATAGTAGATAAAATCCACTGAATCCCTGCAGGATGCATGTAAGAGAAGTAGTTCGTTAGGAATAATTAATTTCATTTTGAACTGTGGATAAAGTTTAAGGTGTGCAGTTAAAATGATTGCAGTATAACTCCTTACTCTTTACTTTGCAATCAATTTAGGATGTAATAAAATTGTCATGCAGAAAAATAATTGTACTCTTATCTGATCACTGAAATTTGAAAAGGATAATTACACGACAAGGTCACAGTAAGCTTTGAAAGTACAATAATATTTTCTCTAGAAATTCTGGGGAACTGCACCTTTGCAAATGTAATCGGACAACGTGGTCATTAATTTGACTAGTCAGATTGATAACTATCTATGCAGCCACCCCCCAGATCATTTCATCTTTGTTAAAAAAAAAGAAATGGTAAAAACCCTAAAAATCCTAGCAAAAATGCAAGGTCTGCTAAATCGATGTGGGTCACCCCCACTAACAAAAATGAAGGATAGTGACATCACCTCCTACAGTATGAGGGGAGAGGGTTTGATGTCAGAAGTAGACATTGTATATTTAGATGGAGGTAGCAAGTGTTATAGCCTCTATCAGGTTTGTATTACTGTCTGTTCCTGATGGGAAACCCAAAATTACAACTGTCATCAGAACAGATGGTTAAGGAAAAGTTTACAACAGGGACACCTGTTCTGGTGACAACTGGGAGTTTATCTCACTTGAGAACTGTAGCCATATTTCAATTATTTGTAAAATATATAAATATATATATATATATATATATATATATATATATATATCTTAGTGCATAAAGAAACTAGCTGCAGTAGATATACATAGGATGCTAATTAAAGCTGCTGTTTGCTGAAATAATAAAATTCTTCATGCAGCCACTGACCCTTTTAGTTATAATTGATTAGAATGAATTATTGATGAGGAAATGTTGCTCACCAACTGTGGTAGCAGCACTTCCTGTTGAAAATACCCGTCAAACAAACCACATAATGGGCCCTGTCGACTGTACAGCTAAAAGCTGAGGATCAGGCACTGACAGGTGCTGATCTAAAAAAAAAAAAAAAAATAAGGGTGCCTAAGCTGTACAGGGGTGGGAGGGGTCTGCTTTATTAAAAATGTAGACATGTCACGATATAGATACAGACACATTAAATAAGTAGGATATACATTAACAGCATGGTCTATGTGTAACCAGCTTTAGGTTTCTTTCCCAAAATTGATCAAAAATCTGAATTGGACTAACTCCTTCTCCAGCTCATATAAAATGATCATGCAAATAGCCATTATCAAAGCCAGGGCTTTCTGAAAACGGACTTCAACTTTAGCACAGTCATTCTCCCAAAAGAGTCCAAAAGATAAACTTACTTGCTGCTTCAATAAATTTAGAATAAGTATCGTAAGTGATTACTGGAATAGGCAAGTCCCTGAAATAGAGCTTTAGAGCGCCCGCAATGATATTAATATCTGGATAGGTAGTAATGGAAATGTCCGCCTTGTCACCATCTGCAAAACAAAGATATCATAAAGCAATGCTGACTATTATATACAAAAGACTTTTAGTCTAACTGAATCGGACTCAAAGACATCCCATTTCATTGTTTATCAGCTTGCACGTGTTATTTGCATTTTATGACATTTGCTATATGCTGAAGTTGTTTAATGTGTTTGTTTTTTTTTTAGACACAGACTATATACAGATTTACATATACAAATTGCTAAAGTATATGTAAACACAAAATGAATGACATTTTGTTTTAACCACTTGCCCTCCAGAGGATTTACCCCGCTTGATGATGAGGCCTCTTTTTTGCTACTCAGCGCTGCACTAATTCAACTGATAATTGCGCGGTCATGCACTGCTGTACCCAAACTAAATTTACGTCCTTTTTTTCACACAAATAGAGCTTTCTTTTGGTGGTATTTGATCACCTGTGCACTTTTATTTTTGGCACTATAAACAAAAAAAAGTTTAAAAATTTTTTTTTTTTTTTAAAAAAAAAAAAAACTATTTTCTCATTTCTGTCATAAAAATTATCCAAAAAAACTTAAACTGTCATAAATTTAGGCCAAAATGTATTCTGCTACATGTTTTTGGTTAAAAAAAAGTGTATAATGATTGCTTTGTGTGAGAGTTATAGCGTCTACAAACTATGGTATAGATAATGGAATTTACACAGCTTTTACTTTCTGTCTGCCCATCACATTTCTTGAGGTGCTAAAATACCAGGACAGTACAAACACCCCCCCAAATGACCCCTTTTCAGAATGTATACACCCTAAGCTATCTGCTGAGATGCATATTGAATCCATGGACGATTTTTTTTTTTTTTTTTTTACACAAGTTTCTGGAAAATGACAAAAACATTTTTTTTTTGTTTTACACAAAGTTGTCATTTAAATGATATACAGGTTAAACTCGAAAAATTAGAATATCGTGCAAAACTTAATTTATTTCAGTAATGCAACTTAAAAGTGAAACAAATATATGAGATAGACTCATTGCATGCAAAGCAAGATAGTTCAAGCCGTGATTTGTCATAATTGTGATGATTATGGCTTACAGCTCATGAAAACCCCAAATTCACAATCTCAGAAAATTAGAATATTACATGCAATCAATAAAACAAGGATTGTACATAGAACAATATCAGACCTCTGAAAAGTAGAAGCATTCATATGTACTCAGTACTTGGTTTGGGCCCCTTTTGCAGCAATTACTGCCTCAATGCGGCATGGCATGGAAGCTATCAGCCTGAGGCACTGCTGAGGTGTTATGGAAGACCAGGATGCTTCAATAGCGGCCTTCAACTCTTCTGCATTGTTCGATCTCATGTCTCTCATCTTTCTCTTGGCAATTCTCTATGGGGTTCAGGTCAGGTGAGTTTGCTGGCCAATTAAGCATAGTAATCCCATGGTCATTGAACCAGGTTTTGGTGCTTTTGGCAGTGTGGGCAGCTGCCAAGTCCTGCTGGAAAATTAAGTCAGCATCCCCATAAAGCTCGTCTGCGGAAGGAAGCATGAAGTGCTCCAAAATCTCCTGGTAGACGGCTGCGTTGACCCTGGACTTAATGAAGCACAGTGGACCAACACCAGCAGATGACATGGCTCCCCAAATCAACACAGACTGTGGAAACTTCACACTGGACTTTAAGCATCTTGCAGTGTGTGCCTCTCCATTCTTCCTCCATACTCTGGTTCCTTGGTTTCCAAATGAGATGCAAAAGTTGCTCTCATCAGAAAAGAGGACTTTGGACCACTGAGCAACAGACCAGGCCTGTTTTTCTTTAGCCCAGCTAAGACGTTTCTGACGTTGTTTGTTGTTCAGGAGCGGCTTGACGAGAAATACGACATTTGAAGCCCATGTCCAGGATCTGTCTGTGTGTGGTGGCTCTTGACACTGACTCCAGCCTCAGTCCACTCCTTGTGAAAGTCCCCAACACTTTTGAATGGCGTTTTCCTGACAAACCTCTCTAGGCTGCGGTCATCCCTGCTGCTTGTGCACCTTTTTCTTCCACACTTTTCCCTTCCACATAACTTTCTATTAATGTTCTTTGATACAGCACTTTGGGAACATCCAACTTCTTTTGAAATTACCTTTTGAGGCTTTCCCTCCTTATGGAGGGTGTCAATGATGGTTTTCTGCACAACTGTCAGGTCAGCAGTCTTCCTCATGATTGCGATTCCTACTGAACCAGACTGAGAGACCATTTAAAGGCTCAGGAACCCTTTGCAGGTGTTATGGCTCAATTAGCTGATTAGAGTGGGACACTTTGAGCCTAGAATATTGCACCTTTTCACAATATTCTAATTTTCTGAGATTGTGGATTTGGGGTTTTCATGAGCTGTAAGCCATAATCATCACAATTATGACAAATCATGGCTTGAACTATCTTGCTTTGCATGTAATGATTCTATCTCATATATTAGTTTCACCTTTTAAGTTGCATTACTGAAATAAATTATCTTTTGCACGATATTCTAATTTTTCGAGTTTCACCTGTATTTCTCGCACAAGCCATGGGTATATGTGGAATTACACCCCAATATACATTCTGCTACTTCATGTGTGAGACTTTTTGGGAGCCTAGCTATATACAGGAGCCTGAAATCCAATGACCACTTTGAAAGCCTGAAGGTGCGTAACTTCCTCATTTCACTTCCTCACTACCTATCACAGTTTCGGAGGCCCTGAAATGCCAGGATAGCTCCAAAACACCCCAAATGACCCCTTTTTGGAAAGTAGACACCCCAAGGAATTTAAAAATAGGCATGGTGAGTATTTTGCAGATCTCATTTTTTCTCACAAGGTTTTGAAATCTAAAAAAATTAAAGAAAAATTATGTTTTTGTTTTTTTCTTCATTTTCCAAAAACTTGTGGCAACAAAAGAGATCTGCAAAATATTCACCATGCTTCTTATCAAATTCCTTGAGGTTTCTACTAACAAAAAAGGGGTCATTTGGGGATGTTTGTTTCTATCGTGGCATTTCTATTGATTCAACATGCCTCTCAGCAAATAGTTTGGGGTGTCTACTTTCCAAAAAGGGGTTGTTTTGGGGCATTTTATGCCCAGCAGTAGAAGTTTATGCCACACATCATTCATTCTTCTAACCACCTGAAGACCAAGCCTTTTTGACACTTTTTGTTCACTTAAAAAAAATCTGTATTTTTTTGCTAGGAAATTAATTTAAACCCCTAAACAGTATATATTTTTCGAAAGCAAACACCTTAGTGAATAAAATAGCGGGTGCTGCAATTTTTGTATGTTACATAGTACTCGCACAGCGATTTTTCAAACGCAATTTTTTTTTAAAGAAATACACCTTTTGTTTTACTTTTAATGCACAAAAACACAATATATTGGCCAATTATTTGGTAAATTATAAAAGATGATGGTATGCTGAGTGAATAGATACCAAACATGAAAACTTTAAAACTGTGCATGCCCTGTGCAATGGCGACAAACTGCAGACAACATTTTAAAACCCTTTACAAGCTACCATTTTAGATTTACAGATTAGGTCTAGTGTTAGAATTACTGCCCTTGATATGACATTCACGGTGATACCTCACATGCATGGTGCAACTGCCATTTACATACCAGCACAGGGTCAATGCTCACGAGGGTGCTTTTTTTCTTTTTTAAGATATCATGATTTTTTAAAATTATTTGTACACTGTACCATTCATTTTTTTTTTTTTTTTATCACATTTAATGCTATCACAGGGAATGCAAATATCCCATATAACTTCAATGGGCATTGTCATATATTCTTTTTTGATAAATCCTGGGTCTATCATACTCTAGATATCTCCTCTGCCCTTACATTATCTAATCAAACCAAGATCGCTGTGATCAGATGCTTTCCCAATTTACACATGGTGCTGTTTCTTAGACTGTAGAGATGATTGGCACCACTCTGGTCTCCAATCAGCTCTATGGTCAGCTGGCAGAAACACCGGCTGCATTCTCAGGTTCCCCAGATGGCACGGGACTGCCCGAGAAGGCCGTGGAAGGCAGCGGGTGAGGGGGGGCATCATCTCCCACTGCTTGTAAAAGCAATCCTGCAGCTAATCAGCAACTGGGATTGCTCTTACATGAAAGTCGCTTGTTGGCTGAAAAAAATTATACCAGGATGATGCCTGCAGCTGTAGGCATCATCCTGTATAAACCATTCAAAGTCCAGTGATATACCAGTACGTCGCTGGTCCTTGTTGGGTATATATGCCATGTTCTTTTTTTTTTTTTTTGTATGCAGCCTGTTGGCTGAATGAAAAAAAAGAGAAGAAATCTCTGCTAGAAAAAGTGTGGGGTATGCCCACCATTAGAATATACCACCCTGCATCCACCACTTCTAATGGTGGGCAAAAATTAGGTCGCATGGTGGTGCCACATGTGCCAGTTCCAAGATTGTACAAATGTCTAAATAGTGGCATGCTTGAATAAAAATTGTCCACGTATAAGTTGTACCCCATATGGAAAAGGGATGACACCAAGTCCCAAACTATCTTGCCACTGCTCCCCATGTAGTCTGGGCATCCCGGGGGCTCCACGTGACTATCTTTGCCTTCGTAAAACCGAAACTTATATGTATAGCATGTTGTCCTCTCACAGGTCTTATACATCTTGACCCCATATCTGGCATGCTTGCTGGGGAGAAATTGTTTGATTGCAAGTGGGCCAGAAAAATTAATGAGGGATTCATTAATGCAGATTTTATGCTGGGGAGTATAGACATCTGCAAATTTTTTGTTAAGGTGATTTACAAGGGGTGAATTTTGTAGAGCCTGTCAAATTCAGAGTCACCTCGAGGATGAGAGAGTGTATTGTCGTTGAAATGCATAAAACACGTTATACTCTCATATCTATGCCTGGCCATGGCAGCAGAGCACATGGGAATATGATGAATTGGGTCTGTGGACCAATACAATCGCAATTCTTTTTTTTTTAGTAATGCCCATGTTGAGGGATAGGCTCAAAAAAAAATTTAATTCGGAAACCATA